AGGGGTCATTCATTATTATCATAATTTTCACAAGTCTACAAAGCGTACACTTTTTCTAGACACCCCCCCCCCTTCAGACCGTACAAGTGGAAAACTTAAAAATCATGACCTTTTGACAGCCATTTGGATCATCATTTTTATTATTGTTGAAAAGCTAGCAGAAGGCATTAACGCCCCCCCCACCCCAGCATACGGTTTGTATACTTGTGAAAATGATAATACAAATGGATAAACTCTTACTCAAATGTTTTCTCAACATTTCCTACTTTGAAGAATGTTCAGTCGCCTGTCTTTTCTAAATTTCAAACAAACTTTTAAAATGTTATAGAAATAAACTCATTTGCCAAAATATCAAATGTATATCTCTATACATGGACAAGTAAACTGATTACGCTATCTAAAAGTACACACATTCGTGAATTCGTTTTCACAGTTCCCTGTGTGCATGTGACCATGTAACATCGGGAACAAAGATGTTAGCCGCTCAAACTAAAGTAATTTTTTTTTTTGTAAAAATGGGGTCAGGTTATGAAGTTTTATAAACGATTTCTAATATATCTTAGCTTTTTACTTAATCTTTGAAGATGGATATTTAACTCACTTTGTTAATTATAAAAAACAAAAGCACGCATTCATGCAAGCATGCACATACAAGCATGCACATACAAGCAGTCGCATACACAAACGCATGAAATATAAGTAAGCAGTCGCATAAAACGGTGGGCCTAGCCCCCCCTCCCCCCCCCTTTAGTTCTTTTTGCAGGCACTTCCTTCATCGAAGCAGGGAGGTTTAGGTTATTTGCCTTTTGTTTCATTCAGCAATGCCTCAGCCAAATCTAATTCAATCGAACGTACATGTCAATCATTTTTTTTGGATGGTAGCCCCTCCCCCCTCCCCTTACAAACACACAAACAATTTGCTGTCTACGCGCCTGTGCCGATATGGCCAACGCGCGTGTGCTGAGTTAATAAAAACATAAATGACCTTACGTTCAACAGGAGACAACATAATTCATGACTAACAATGAACAATAAATCTTACCTGGAGTGATTAGATAGATAACATCTGAGGATTGCCGGGTAATTTGCTGAGTACAGATATGGAGTTAAACTATTTCACCGCGGAAAAAAACTAAAGGTCTTTGTGAAAGATTGGACTCTTTGCCAAGTCGGTTGGAGGAAAATAAACATCTTTGTTGTTGCGAAGGGAGCCTTCTTTATTTTGGAGAGGGTGGGAGCTTTTTCTCATCTCATGGAAGTTATGTACTATATAGATACCAAATAATAATCTTACTGCTTCGCTTATCTGATTTTTCACTACTGGCACTTTTTCTTTCTTTTTCAGTTCCTTTCCTCATAAATTAATTCCTTAGATTGATTATTTCTGTCAGCATTGTGCACATATTGGAGGACATTAAAGTGTCAGTTACCATGCTGCAGTAATTATTAAGCTGCACAATTGATATGATAAGATGACGTGCAGATTTCTTTGCTGAAAGAGAAATGTGTAAGAAATACAACACCAGTCACCATCCGTTCGCCTGCCAATTGATCCTAACTCACCCGGGTTATTATCACTGCTAATTAGTGGACTTTCAGTGGCAAAGAGGTTTTCATCAGGCACCACTTAATACTGCAGCATTTGTTTCACGTTGTAATATATTTTCTTATTAACATTCCCTTTTCTTACCCAATGTCTGTATAGAAGCTATAACTTCAGAAATGCCTTTTACGATAACTCCACGAATTGGGCATAGCAGTGATATAAACCAAATGAATAATAACAAACAGATATCAAACAAATAGAAAAGGCCTAGATACATTGCTAGGTATATATGCGGAACTCTAATACCATACCAGCACATGCGTCAACTGGCTTGAGTCAACGAAGCCTGCTCTATGCATTGTGGGCCCTTTCGGCATAAAAAAAAAACGCCTTTGAAATAAGTATCTTGGTACATGGTCCGTCGTCAGAGAAGCCGTTTACCTGGCAACAAGCCATCATCGATTCATGTTTGTTACGTCACAATGATCTTAGTGACGCAATAATGCGATGACGAAATATAACAACGGCTGGCGTTACCGATTATGACTGTGGTGTTACGTTGCCATCGCTACAAGGCATGTAAACACTGTCAAGTGACATTTGTAGTATTTGTTTTTTATCATTTTGGGCACTTTTGTTCAAAACCAAGTGATTATAAGGCTTCAGTGATGTTTATAACTGGAGCTTTAATGTTTTTTGCTTTCCTCAAGAAAGTTAAGGTGATATACAGACAAAAAGTATATTGTAAGTATTTCTTTTTAATTAACTTTATCGTGTTTCTCCGCTCTTTATTTCTCTGTTCACCTTATCGTAGTTATTTCTATATTTTCTGCATATTACGCAAGAACTTTTCAACAATATTGTCCCTTAATCTTATCTGTAAACCGTTTATTTGGTGATGAATATCATTCAGCCATCTATTTTCCGTTTGCATCTAGATGTAATCATTTCATTTTATTCTATTGGTATTTTTACAGTTTTCATTGTTTCACCGAGTAAAATCAATGCACGTTGGATTTAATTAGACACAGTGAAACAGTCTAAGAACACTGGTAAATGATAATAATAAAACTGTACACATTTTATATGTAGGTAGTAATGGTGGGTGCAAAGCTGCAGTAGAGAAGTTCTTATTACAACATTATGTGAAAGCTCGGGTTGTCGGCGGTGAGAACTCTCTACCTAGAACAGTTTGTGTAGCGGTTTATATTTACCAATATGCATCTCTTTATTTCATAGTAACGTTGATAACTTTGAATGCTAATGAAAATAAGAATAAAATAAGTTTACATATGCCTCGGTCATCTGCCCCAGGTCTTATGTATTTCGTGTTCAGGCGAAATAATCTCTCTTGTCTGAGGTTATTGTTATTTTACTTGGTTTATCTTTTGTATATATCTGCCGCAGGGGCTCGTAAGAAGACTAGACAACCGGCGAAACACAGAAGCCCAACAAACAGCGAAGTGAGTTCATATTTTTTCAAATCATTGAGCAGAATCAGGCCATACTTACTATATATATTGTACGGTGGAGTTTTTAACAGAATGAATAGTTGAAAGCGGAATAAAAATACGGTCACAGCAGAATAATAGTTCATCCTCTCCTTTGACATTATATTAGATTGTTTTTTTGAAAGTACTGTATAGTGGGAATACATTTTGTAAATTTGAATTTGTCATCATAAAACATTTAATAATATCAAATATACTTAAAACTTTGATATTGGAAAAAAGTTTTATAAGTCTATAGCGGTCACACACTATATATCTATCGCATACAGTACATACGTACACTGGGGTGGTGTGGTCAGCCTGCGTTTACAGTGTTCTACACTCAAACACTATAAATAACCCAAGCCATAGTGTTGCCGTATCCTGAGGCATTATTTGTTGACCTATCATACTATCATTACGTACTCAACCAAAAAGTTGAAAGGTAGTGACTAGGGACTATATACGCAGCGTGTTAAGATAAGTCATGGAATATAGCTCGTCTATTAAAATGCATATACAAAAATTATATGGCTAAATAAAACGACTAGTCGAGACGTTGCAGTGAATCCATTGCCATAAATAACTTATCATAGACTATATACCTCGTTTATCGTCCAGGGAATACTATATATGGGTGTCTATATGTCAAGGCCCAGCAAGCCGAGACAGAGCGCACGAAAGCGGACTGGCTTGGGACGACACATTGAGGGGTTCAGGGAAAGACTGGTACGACCAGAGGAAAGATCGAGCTTTATAAATAAATCCCATAAATCAGTTAATATGAACCTTCTTAGTGAATAAACGAGAGAGAGAGAGAGAGAGAGAGAGAGAGAGGGAGAGACTAAACAAAAGTGCGTGTGCATGTCTGTGTGTGTGTGTGTGTGTGTGAGTGAGAGAGACTAAACGAAGTGTGTGCGTGTCTGTGTGTGTGTGTGTGTGTGTGAGAGAGAGAGAGAGAGAGATGTATCGGCCCCATATATCAGTCAAAGTTTAATGAAAAGCACAACAATTTTACCTTGCATCAACAACACTGTCTAGAGTACCTTGGTGTGTTTGCAAGCATGTCCTTAATTCCCTTTTTTAACCGTTTTGCAACTGCCTCATTGTGATAAAAAATCTATGACGTATTGAGAATGAATCTTTACTTGAAATTTATTTCTGTTTTACAGGCCAATTACACCATAGGATTGTTCCAGTCAACTTGCTGAAAGAAAGAGGAATTCTCATGCCCACAAGATACTATTTATTCACCATAAAATTAAAATATAGAATTAAAAACATTGCTTTGCATATTTTTGTTATAAATAAAAATAGAATATTATATAAAAATTAAACCACATTTCCAAACTTTCAAATGCTTTTCTTTGGTTTCCAGACATTTTCTATTTCTGAAAATGAAGAATTCTACAACTTACGATTACAATAACTGTAAAGGGGATTTTTCAAATTGATCCCACAACACTTTTAACTGTAACAATTTACAGCCATATATAATAACATTTAAATGTCCTTCAACAGACATAATAGCAATGGTAATATTCAGATAACTCTTATCTAACCCTAACCTTAAGCCTAACCTGCCCATGAAACATAACCTTATTTATCATCAGGCACTGCAGTATGCACTGCAAATTGAACTAGGCAGCAAAACTGACAGGTGTGCAGACACTTAACAGAAAAAAATAATTTGCATTGCTTCATTTAAACATAAACAAGAACATTCCCATAAACATGGAAGACCAATGCTTTGGGCAAGATTGAAAAAGAACACAAAATATGCCATAACTTTTGTTATTTTTTTTTCAAAGTAAGCCCGATTTCTTACCCAGCAAAGTCATACAGTAATTTCCAAGTAAAACAAAAATATTGTTTGGTGCTTTTGGTTAATGTTGCNAAGAACAGTCTAGAACTGCCTCTACTGCTTGGCTCATAGGTTCCCCATGGTGGGTGTGGCCACCATCCTAAAATACAGAGATATGCAGATAAGAACAGTCTAGAACTGCCTCTACTCCCTGACTCATAGGTTCCCCATGGTGGGTGTGGCCACCATCCTAAAATACAGAGATATGCACATATGAACACGCTCTAGAACTGCCTCTACTGACTGACTCATAGGCTCCCCATGCTGGGTGTAGCTGCCATTCTAAAATACAGAGATGTGAATATATGATGAAATAAATGAATACAACCACCACAGTTATGTAGTCACATACAGTCATGGCTGATATCTTTACTATGACAATATGAAGAGCCCTTTTTTACAGTTACACAGTAGAAATATACATACATGATGTATATGAATCTTGCCAATTTCCATATTTCTCTTTACATTTTAAAATTTTATTCCAATTTTTATTTCTTTGTTTTTTTCTTCTTTCCACCTTATCAGTATATTCAATTTTTCACAATTTCAAATCGGATATAACAGCTTGTTCAAAGATACATCTGCTTTTAGCTGTGAGTTTTTTAAAATCATAAATATGTAAAATGGAATGGAATGTTTGAATTTTGCATGCACCATACTAACTTTACATGAATAAGCCACCCAAGCTCTGGAGTGTGGGAACTCTCTCAGCAGTTCTACCAGAGCCTTGGCCTCTAACACGGCAGGAAGGGTCTCAAAGGCCAAGAGGTCCACTCCACTGTTCACAAGAATCTCCATCCTGGGCCGGTGCCACTGCTTCAGGTACTGCACATGACAGACATGGTTTATAATCAAAATGAAATATCTACAACAAGTAAATCATTATTCATTGCCCAACCTTTACTATTTACATGTAGATTAAAAAAGATGTTAAATTCAAAACTTCATGAAATATTTTATTTTAAATTAATAGCATATTTTAAGTATATCAAATTTTAAGCATAAGTATAATACCTGAGTAATCATTCTTACTAACAACATATTCAGACAGACATACCTCAACCATGTCCTCNTTTATTTCTTCTTTCCACCTTATCAGTATATTCAATTTTTCACAATTTCAAATCGGATATATCAGCTTGTTCAAAGATACATCTGCTTTTAGCTGTGAGTTTTTTAAAATCATAAATATGTAAAATGGAATGGAATGTTTAAATTTTGCATGCACCATACTAACTTTACATGAATAAGCCACCCAAGCTCTGGAGTGTGGGAACTCTCTCAGCAGTTCTACCAGAGCCTTGGCCTCTAACACGGCAGGAAGGGTCTCAAAGGCCAAGAGGTCCACTCCACTGTTCACAAGAATCTCCATCCTGGGCCGGTGCCACTGCTTCAGGTACTGCACATGACAGACATGGTTTATAATCAAAATGAAATATCTACAACAAGTAAATCATTATTCATTGCCCACCCTTTACTATTTACATGTAGATTAAAAAAGATGTTAAATTCAAAACTTCATGAAATATTTTATTTCAAATTAATAGCATATTTTAAGTATATCAAATTTTAAGCATAAGTATAATACCTGAGTAATCATTCTTACTAACAACATATTCAGACAGACATACCTCAATCATGTCCTCAGAGTCCTTGGTATCCACATAGACCCCAGTATATTCTGTACCATATTACACAGACATACCTCAACCATGTCCTCAGAGTCCTTGGTATCCACATAGACCCCAGTATATTCTGTACCATATCACACAGACATACCTCAACCATGTCCTCAGGGTCCTTGGTATCCACATAGACCCCAGTATATTCTGTACCATATCACACAGACATACCTCAACCATGTCCTCAGGATCCTTGGTATCCACATAGACCCCAGTATATTCTGTACCATATCACACAGACATACCTCAACCATGTCCTCA